AGGTCTACTGTTCTTGTATTTACTGTGGTCAGGTTTAAGAAAGTCAATTCTCTCTATTGGTATGAATCTAGAAACTGTTACCACGCTTATTTAAACTCACAGCTCTGTAAGCACTACCTCGAAAGAAAGTTTAAACTATTTGAATAACTTTAAAACTAATTTGGCATATAATTTTGGGGCATTTAAATTTTAAGATGCAATTTTACATACAAGCGTGTTTTCAACCGACTTCAAAAAAAGGAGGAGGTTCTCAATTCGACCCATATGTTTTTTTTTTCTATGTTTGTTACGCGATAACTCCGTCAATTATGAACCGATTTGAACAAATCTTTTTTCGGCGTATAGGTAATACCTCAAGGGTGGTCCCATTTAAATTTAATAATAAAAAAACAACCCCCAAGGGTGGAAAATTGGGAATTAACTTTTTTATACGCAATATCTCCGCCGATTATAAACCAATTTGAACGATAATTTTTTTGTCGAATAGGTATTATCAAAAGGGTGGTTTCATGCGAATTTGAAGAAAATATTCCACCCCCAAGGGTGGAAAATTGGGGATGAACTTTTTTATACGCAATATCTCCGCCGATTATGAACCAATTTGAACGATTATTTTTTTGTTGAATAGGTATTATCAAATTTTTTAAATTTTTAGTTTTTTTTTGTGTTCACGCATTTGAAGTCGGTTATTTTTTTTTTTAAAGTTATTAATAATGTTATTATACTCGCAGCCACGGATGAGCGACACGCTCTTTTCTTCATTAAAAGTTGCTACCAACTAACTCAATGTTCAGATTTTAGTGCCTTCAAAGTAGGGGCTGAGCTCTTAAAAATATTAATATCATTTAAGTTTTAAGTGAACCGTAGTTTTATTCCGGGGTTATCGGCGTTGTACGGAACACCTGCGCTCGTCTCTCGTAAAACTTACCGTCGACCGCACCTATACACCTTTTTGTTCCAAAGTAGATCCTATTCCAACGATATAAGATGCCCCAGTGTTTAGTTTGATGTGATATCGTCTGTACACTTCGCCGCTTCCGCAAGGAACGCAAGTTTATAGTTTCAGCTTATCTTTCGTGGTATTTCCTAAATGCATTTGTTATAATTTTCAAGCGAAAATTGCCACTTGCGAAATTTTCGTGGATGGAATTTTGTTTCAGCTGTTTCAAATGCTGCATGAGAGGTAGATATATTTTATAGTAAACGAATGATAATAGTTTCGATTCAGTTATATGGTTATTTTATTTAAAAGAACTGTTAGATCCCATGCTCACCGAATCTTTTTCAGACGCATTGGAACGCACTGTATTCGCGATCTTTAAGTTCTGCTAGTTTTTATGGATTCCATAAAGAAAATCCTTCCCGCAAACGCATGTTTCATTTATCTTATGCTATTTTCACACACATTGCTTTTGAATTCAAAGCTTTTTTGGTTTTTTTACTTTATTAAAATTGAACATTCTAATAAAACATAAGTTAATCCATAGCTCTCGTATCAATACCTACCAGTTAAAGACTACTCAATAAAAAGTATCTATTACATATAGCAAAAAAAAACACAAAATCCCGATGTGTTGTGCTCAAAGCGCAGTCGTCGTGTTCACAAAGAAGTTCATCGCTGTCGTCCACATTACGGCTGCAGCGAACGACTGCCGCGGGGCCAGGAGCGAGGCGTTTGAAGACATTGCCTGTGCCCAAATTTTGATCAAAATCAAAAATATTTTATTCAATTTTGACCACTGGTGGCACTTATGAACGTCATCGTACAGTAAAAGAAAGAAAAAAAAAGGTATTGGGCCCTACCAGCGCCTCGAGACATACATTATGGCAAGTGCTGAAAAAACGCCAGAACAAACTTACTTTTTCAAATCAAATAATTTATTTGTAAAACGTTTAGGTGACGGAATAGATATCGTTCGTTCGTTTCATTCCAATGACGTCCACAGCTGTACAAAGGCCTCCCCAAGGATATCCACAAGCAAAACACAAAGGATAAATGTCCTGCAGCGCCGCCCACATCTAGGCACCTCCCGCGCGCGACCCTCACCAGAACATTAAATATAGCGCTGACATTTTTGAAGAGCCTACACAACTCCCAAAATTGATGAAAAGAATCAATCATACTATTATGATAGTATGATCGTAACATCAGTAACGTTTTATAACCGACTTGCCCATTCATAAAATTGACATCTATGATACCTACCTATTTATGTATAATCGACAATAAATAATTATCAATGATTACATTTCACAATCGACTCAATTTCACGCACCTATAGATTGAGGCTTTCCATTAATTATTTTGGGTTTTGTAATTCAAAACTAAAGATTGAAACAGAACAACAGAACAAAAAATTACCTGTTTTAGGTCACAGCTTTACCGTATACCTACTCTTAGGTATTTTAGACAAAAAGACATTGCTATTCTGCACCCACCCGAAACTTTTAACCACTCCAAAATGAACTACAAAGCCAATTAAACTTAATTCCCGACCGGATGCGGCGATACGTCACGCCGGCTTCGTGGCCCCACCGCAGGTTTATACTCTCGTTCCTTTATAAAAGGGGCAAAGGCTTCTATTTCCGGTTCGGAGCGTGACGTCAGAGTGAGGTGGGACATTCCCATAATGATGCTTTTTGTTTTAGCCCCCGTTTATATTATGCGGGCTTTGTTTTTTAGAGTAGTTTTGTGTTTGACATGTGTTAGTTTCGCAGACGTTTAATTCCATTTTGGCGGTAAGTGACGGGAAAATTTTCTTTTGTTTTGAAACGGCTGTGTTTTTATTACAGCTATTATTATGACAGTATTGTGCGTGCTGTATTGTGATTTTAGATGAATATTACTATTGTAACGAAAATGTTTTGTGTTACTTATTTTTTGTTGTGAAATTCCTGGAAAATCTGAGGGTTTAACATTCATAATTATTTTTTATCTACTTTTGAAATATGATACTAAGGTGTAACATACCCAAAGAAATATCGATGCTTTTCGACGTTTTAACGTGGAAAATATAGAAAAGTAAAATTGAAAAGACCACATAGTATGTTTGTNTAAGCTATATTTTTTACCGATTTTTTAAAAGCACTATCACCTAGTCGGCTAAATTGTACCACATCAATTTGTATGGAACTTTACCAAAGGATTTTGATTTTTTTTTTGTAAATCATATTTTGAAGTTATAATAGCGTAGTTATGTTTGACTAATAATAAATGAAAGCAAAAGACTGGCAAAGTAGATTAGGTACAAGTGTGCGTTACGGTAATTGGAATTACAAAACTTGTACTCAGAATCGTGATAACGTGTAAAACAATATCGATTGTCTATGTTATTAACTACTGTTCCTCTTCATTTCCTAATTTGTTAAGAATGTATCGTATAATATTTTGCCATAGTTTTCTTAAAGGCTTGAAATTTATTGAAATCCAATTTAGTAAACCTGTGGTACAAATTATCGAACCGGTTGGCTAAATTGGACCGAAGCTCTGAACTCGTACTTTGTTAATTTGTGCTAAATATACAATAATCATGTTAATTAATACTTATGAAATAGTAAGTTGAATAATGTATCTTTTATTATATACCATGGACATTAGCAAAAACAAAAGAAAACTATGTGTAAAATGGGATTGAAAAAAACTGGTCCAAATTAGCGGACTCTCCCTTATGTTTGTGAATACGTGCAATAATTTCTTAAGACAAAGTTATGGACAAAATTGATGTTTTAATGTACCTACTCGTGTCTACTATAGATGACTTTACATTCCACTGTGACATTAATATCGCTACAAGATATTTACACAAAACATTTGGGATTTTAAATATTTATAACAACCTTTCAGACATCATAACCCTTGTACAAATAGGCGCAAATGGATTTACTACTACATAGATATTTAATTTTGATTTTCATATTTACGTATAAACTTCGTAGTTTTGTTTGCTCGTTCATATTTTGTGTCGCATTTCAACTGAGCAAACACTGACTTAATGAGTTGCTAAGGTCAAGCTGTCCTTGTCGCTCTTACACAGATTGTATAAATATGTCTCGCTCTAGTAAGCAAATCGTTTAGGGTTGCTTAAATGAATTTAGTTCGACAAGCACTTGAGACAGATTCAGAATTTTATTCTTTCTGATCTTTAATTTAGAGTTTGAAGTCTTTTACGTTTAAATGACTCTGAAAATATTTTCCAAATTGAGTTAAGGGTGTTCAGAAATAGAATTGATCTCTTTGATAACAAGGAAAAATGGGAATGGTGTATTACTCATAATATTTCTCCTTCCATGTAAGGATATGAATTAACATCTCGTATATTTTCACTCATAAATGCTATCTATGTAATATCTGAAGCGTCCAATAATATTTAACTAAGACAAGAACGTATTTCATGAAAAAAAAATTGCCGCTGTAGGCTTCTTTCTAGTTAACTCAATACTCAATCATTTTATTTTCCATAACAGAACAACAAACAAAAGATGATACTTTGTTTTTACGTGTACCCATCTAGTTTAAGAACCCTGATATAATGTGATAATAATGTGACGAAGGAGAATCGTTGATTTCAACTAATTGTACCGGCCATTGTGAAAGTCCTTGGGGATTATTTTTCCAGCGTTGGACGTTCGTTCGTTTCCGCCGAAAGACGTCCACAGCTGGACAACGTCCTCCCCCAAGAATTTTCACAAAGACCGGTCCTAAGCCTCCTCGCATCCAGGCACCTCCCGCGACCTACACCAGATCGTCGGTCCACCTAGTGGGAGGCCTGCCCACGCTACGTCTTCCCTGCTCGTGGTCGCCACTCAAGAACTTTCCTGCCCCAGCGGCCATCAGCTCTACGCGCCCACTCTATGTGCCCCGCCCACTGCCACTTGATTTTAGCGATTCTGCGGGCTATGTCAGTCACTCTGGTTCTCCTACGGATCTCCTCATATTTTCAGCGTTGGACGTAATTATACTGAAACTATCTGTTATTTATAAGTCCTATTCTTGTCCCCAGGTCTAGGCCTGCCCGGGGCCGGCAGCGGCGAAAGCTTGCGGCCTGAGAGGCCATACTTCGACGACGTGTCTCCGAGGAATGTCTCGTCGGTGGTCGGTCAGGCCGCCGTGCTCAGGTGTCGGGCGAAACACATAGGGAATAGAACTGTAAGTACCAACTACTTTCATCATCATCATCATCATTTCAGCCATCGGACGTCCACTGCTGAACATAGGCCTCCCCCAATGCTTTTCATGTTGATCGATTGGTAGCGGACTGCGTCCAGCGCTTCCCTGCTACCTTTACGATGTGGTGGACTCTACTTTTACTTTATTATGTTTCTTTTAAAATAAATAAGCAAATGAGTTTTTGTTGCCACATTCGTGGCCTTCGACCATGAGGTCTTAAACGCTAAGGGCCTCTTTTACGATTTCCGAGTAAAGCCAAGTAGTTACTTCATGACCTGCCTGGTTGAATTGTCACTTGTGCGCTAAAGTCTTGTGAGTGTCATGGTTTCGTTGTACTTGTAACTTTAAGCAACGAGTAGCCTACTTGACAGTTAGAGACGGTGAACCAGGCTTTTATGTAAACACAGTCACTTGAAATCTATGAAATGAAAAAACGTCAAGTCCAGCGTTTCAAATCTTTGTTGATTTGCTTCACTCTTATCAAACTTCTGAGGCGAGATCAACATACCAAAATATCTAAAAACAAGCTCAAGAGGTTTAAATAATTAATTAATGGATGTGTGAAAATGACAAACCGTGACATGTCATTGTGTGAAAACTATGTTGTGGAATCGTAACGCCAAGAGTTCCATAACACTGGTCTTATATTTTGTAACATCTTCGATGGATTTACAATAAATTATTGAGTATTGAAAGGTGATTGAAGTTCAGTTAACTTCAGCTTTTCAATCCAATCTTAATTTCAATAAGAGAGGTTGCTCCTAGAATCCAGGATTAATTCGCATTATTGTCCCTGCACCGCGGTTTATTGCCGCTGTTCGTTAATGCGGCTAATGCCCGCACTGTCCTGCAATAACTGTTGTTTATGGCCAGATTACTGTGATTGAGCACGTGCACGAAGGTTAAGATATTCATAAATCTACTTGGTCAGGTGTTATATTGATAATAATTAGGTATACGATCCTTTAGCACAGTGTTTGTTGATAAGGCAAGCTATATTTGGAACGTATAATAGCGCTTTTCTAAAGTCTACCTGCAAAAAATAAATGAGTTTCATGATTTTTTACCAACTACTGTCCGCACCCAAAGTTCAACCCTCAAGATCACAGCGCCACAAAATAACCAACAAACCAAAATATCCAAAATGAGAAATCTTATTTCATCTATATGTTACAGGAAATGTATGAATTCTAGGAATTGTATACTATTCCTAGGAAATGTATACAATTCCGAAGCTATTTAGGAAATGTATAAAATATTGCTTCAGAGATTTTTTAATACGCACATATCCTAGGACATGTATACTTTTCCTAGGAATTTTATAGAATTCCAATATTGTATTAGGAAATGTATAAAACTAAGCGGCACAAGCGCGGTCGTGTGATCGAGTGCCCCTCAGTACGCCTAAAATTTCATTTAACCAAACCACATTGGCCGATAGGTACTTTTAACTCACAACTATTATTGTTTAGCCTGACAGTTGTTTTCGCACTATTATACTTTGGCCGAAAAAAATACTTGCCTATTGGCATACCTTTATTTCGGCATCACGCATACATATTACGCTGAAGTATTGGAAAACCCTAATTTTAACATCTTTTATTAAACTATTATTGGCATGAAGGTTTTAGTACTCCTGTAGCTGGATAACTAAGTCTCGGTTAGGTTAGGTTAGACTTGCGACCTTACACATACACAGCTGCCGCGGCGTGGTAGCGCCATTTATGTTTCGGAGAAAAAAAAGAAATCTGAATTACATTGATTTACGTGAATTCTATAAAATTCCTAGGAAAAGTATACATGTCCTAGGATATGTGCGTATTAAAAAATCTCTGAAGCAATATTTTATACATTTCCTAAATAGCTTCGGAATTGTATACATTTCCTAGGAATAGTATACAATTCCTAGAATTCATACATTTCCTGTAACATATATAAAAGAAAGTCGTGTTAGTTACTCCACTTATAACTCAAGAACGGCAGAACCGATTTAGCTGAAAATTGTCAGGGAGGTAGTTTAGAGCCAGGAGAAGAACATAGGATACTTTTTATCCCGTTCTAAATTAAAAAAAAAGTCTGCTTATTTATTGCCATTAAGGCGGAACAAAGTTCGCCGGGTCAGCTAGTTTAAAATAAAAATAATGTAATTATGTTCATAAATATAATAATGTTCATAAAAAGTTTATGTTTTTCTTGTGTCGACTAAGGCATACTTTGAGGTAAACCTAACTTAAATTTTGTATCATCATTATCTAACTACAATTTTGTTCGTTTATTAATCGACACATTTGATCCCTTGACACTATTTAATTAGTTTACAGTCTACTTATTTACAAGTGTATTCGATTACTACTCGAGTGAGGGTAGTAATGACATTGAGACGTCTGTATCGCTTCGCCTACGTCAATAAAGTGAAGTAATTAAGAAATTCAATGAACCTTATACAAAATTCACGTTCGATTCCCACTCAGATAGGTTGATAGATTTCGCAGAAATCTAAAGATCTGTATGTATTTGATTGTAAGTACCTACCTACTATTTCTGGGTAGGTACATAAAAATTGTTGAAGATAAACAACGAACGCAAAAATGAGTAAAGAGTTCAAAATAGTTGGAGAATCAAAACAATAAATAAATAAGTGAAAGTGTGTCAAAATTGATCAATTTACTTAGGCTTATTTTAAATGACCTCTTTTCTAGAATGTATATGTTTATGTTACCTACTGGCATTCCTTCGTCATTCCTTCATTCCAACTACCTTCCTTTTTTATAAAAAAAAAATTTTTTTCCTCTAAATCCTACCAAATGTGCCTACAAATAGCCTACATTAGAGTCAACTTTTTGTATTGTCCCATCAGTGTATATTTCTTATCTGACGCCCTCCACCTGGCGCACATCATTTTTCAACGTCGAACTCCTCATCGGGCCCTCGATATCCCTCCTCAGCCACGGTCGGCTGGCCGCCATATTAATGGACGAAGACCCCGCAACCCATTCCTGAAAATAAATAGCCCTCTGACATGTCCCACGATGCATTATAATATATTGTTCGCTAGGAATTATCTTACGTCATTTCCTCCAAAAAAAAGGTCGCGGGATGAGCGCTGGGATTCAAGGATTATTTCGTGTGACGCTTTCGGTCGCGATAAATTCTCCTCTCCCATTGGTTGCTAGTTTTGGCCGCAATAAATTCTGGTTATTCATTGGTCGCCTCGATTGACGCAAGAGTATTCGCCTTTTTCGGCGCCCGGGAAGATTTAATGCCACTTCTGCCAATGACCTCTTTACCTTTTCTTATTTTGAAGCATTCTTTCTTTGCACGAAACGCCCGGAATGTTTCACGTTAGAAGCTGTACCTTTGCGTTTAAATAAATATATTATTATACAAAAGAATTTGCAGAATCCCTTTCAGTTCTTTTTTGCTATTTAATGAATTTCGTGATCGTAACCTTTATTATTTTCTCGTAGAATTATTTGTGTGGCGCTGAGTGGTTGTGGATATTGAACATGGATTCGGTCTAGCGAGTCTAACGTTCTCTCAACTAGACAGATTTTAAGTGAGCTGAGAAGTTTTCACAAAAATATTTTCATCACGACGTTTTCAATTATGTAGGATAAATTCCTAAGCCGCACTTTGCTCGCGGCCCTTCAAAAAAGAGATGATGATTCCGAAAAAGCGCTTAGCCGTCACTTAATTGGTTTATTTCGAATGCTGTAAAGAGTCTGGATGCTCCATCTTGTTTAATTACAAGCCTGGCTTAGACCGGCTCACTGTAATTACGCACAAAAACAAAAACTCGACAAAGGAGGAGAATTTATTTTCTAATTTCTCAGGCCCCGAGCGCTCGAATTAAAAATATAATTCAAACGTTTATTGTTGGTGTAATTTGAATCAAAGGCCAAGCGTCTGAAGTGTTCCGACGGCCGTTGCATGTTTTGTGCATATTTATTTATAAATAGTTCTCTACTTATATAAAATAATTAATTAAGCGGGTGTCGTTTTTGTGAGATGAAAGCAATTAAAACTCTTAAGATAATAATTTATAATACTATGTCCGTTTCTGTCTTCTTCTTCTGTCAAACATAGGTACGTACAAAATCAGTAAGTTATGGTTTTTCGAACCTAAATATAGATATTTTTCATTACAATATTTGGGTTACTGATAATTTAGCTAATTTCCTTTGGGCCAAGGTTAGAGCCTTGGAAGATCCACGCAAATAAGGAAACAGGTGATAAATATCTTTATTTACCGAGTGCCCACCGAATAAGTAAGGGAAAACATATTTATGAGTAACCTGATATTATTAGGTGAGATAATTACGGTTACGTATTTACCCAATTATCTACTTGCGATGTCAAAAGCCTAATCAAGGTTGGGAAGTGGCTAGAAAACTTGTGACATTTTCCAAATCATTACTTTGCTTTTGAAACAAGGTTCCGATAAATCATTGATCCATAAACTATTTATGGAATTAGCAAAATGGCATTTAGAACCATAAAAATTTTGACTGACAAATTATTGAGTGATGGGGTTTTTCACTACATCAGCACGAAATGCGTAAGTATTTCAGTTTCAACAAATAAACCAATTTTAAAGATGTTTGTATTATTCTAAAAATCTAATGTGGCTATTTTTAATGGATATTTTTTACCTATGAATATTCATACTTATGGTGAGAAATAAATTGCACTAAAAGAAATGTGAATAACACAAGACATGCTTTCAAGTTAAGGTTTTTAAATTGGCTCTCACGTTGAGCCTTTTCTATGGTTAAGTTAATAAAACCTTCAACATCAAGGCGACAAGCGTATAAGTTTCTCAAAGGCTGCTATGGCTCTGGCAATTTCCTTTGCTGCGATTCTTTAAGAACACAACTTAGATTTCAAATTTTATTTGTCTTACACGTAAAAACTTATTCACGTAAAAAATATTTGCACATTGAACATAATATTTAAGCTCGTTGAGTTAAGGTGGGGACCAAACTGCAAATAGAGTAGGCACACAATTCACACAAAATACATTTGAAAAAGAACCGTTTTTTACACCATATTTTGTTAAACAAAAAACTTAGCTGTATGGTGTATGCTCTTGCCTTGACTGCCAAAAAAAGGGAGAAGAAAAATATCTGTTTTAATCGTATCATAAGCATTTTCAGAAATTTCATATCACAAATTCAATTAAAATGATTCATCGCGAAATATAATCACAAATAGCTTTGTTAAATTAACATCGACTTCATTATTTCATTCCACTTAATGATCCTTGTTATTGTTTGTCAAATTAATCGCGTTATTTAATATCGGACGTTGTTAATGACAAGGACGTGGTTTCGGTGATGAATAAGAAAAAAATGGCACAAACAATACAACATTATACAATGAAAATTGATAAAGTTGAAAGTCAAAGTACGAATTTACGCGATTCAAAGTCAAAGTCAAAATTTATTTATTTGTATAGACTATTATAAAATATAGTGCTTACAAATCGTCAAATATTTTGCTCTTAAGGAGCCTCTACATGTCTCATAATCTTTTTACCCTACCAGCGCTTCGAGACCAACATTTGGCAAGTGCTGAGAAGAAGAGATTCACGCAATAGCCCTTTTAAGTTACATGGTTTATTTAAATCTGATGCACAAAAATGTACATAGGTGTCAAATTTTCCTATAATTTATCATTGGGTTATTTAGCCACTTGAGAAGGATAACCCTCTCAAATTTACCAAAGGCAAAAGGCGAAGGTTTGGCCAGCACTCCATTCTACCAAAAGCCATGACGGGTTTTTGAGGTCTAATGTTCGCACATTTCTCCTTGTAGCCACTTACATCATCCACGGGAATCCCATCGTCGTCGTAGTCGAGCAACGTCGCATGTCTATGTCCGTCAAAATTTGTTTTTTGGCATAAAACTACTCAAAAGTAGCTCCTATAAATAAAATAATTGTTATTTTCGAAGCTACAGAATCAAACACCGATGGATATAATTATTCTAACGCAATACAGAGACGTGTTTGTGCAAGATAACGTTTTGCAGATACGTCGTTGTTTGACGACGACGACGCCATGTAAATGCAGCTCTAAAAACCACAGCTAAACTGTACTTTATCTCCAGGTATCATGGATGCGCAAACGCGACCTACACATCCTGACCTCCCACATCTTCACGTACACCGGGGACGCTCGGTTCAGCGTATTGCACCCAGAACCCTCGGACGACTGGGATCTGAAGATAGACTACGTGCAGCCGAGGGATGCAGGGGTCTACGAGTGCCAGATCAACACTGAGCCGAAGATCAATATGGCGGTCATGCTCAATGTTGAAGGTAAGGGCTAGGTGTAACGTAAGTTGAGTTAGATTTGTTATTAAAATTTGATTAGTAAATACACCCATATTCTTCAGCAAGGCAAAACAACACAATTAATACCTATCTGCCTCCTAATTTAATATGATAGACGTGTTTTGAAAAATTGATCGGCAAGTACTTTACTCAAGGTGAAGTAACACAACACGCTGAAATACGTTTGCATTTGTGTGTGAGATGATGGGTGTATTTTTTAAAGCTAAATAATAATAATTTATTTATTGGCAAAGAAAATGGCGTTAGACTAAATTGTGGTACATAAAAGTAATATTTATTACCATTTTACAAATATAAATTCATAAAAGTTTTCCTTTGATGTGCGACTCCTTAAAAGGAGTTTAGTTCAGTTGCTAAGATTCTGAGATAGAAAGCACAATAGATTTCACAGGTACATTATTTTAGTTTAAACTGCAACTTTTAGCATTAAGGGCTATGTTTATTAAAAAAGTATGCAATAGAATGTACGCGAAACTAACAATGATCTTCATTAAGACTAACCAACACGACTTCCCCGTACCGGTTAATGTAATACGGCACGTGCACACGTGTGGGAACAGTGTGCAGGTGTAAACAAAGCCTTATTGTTACAATGTTCCAATTACAGAGAAATCAGAAATGGTTTTCAAGTTAAAATATTAATTAGAACCAATTTGTTGACGTTACAAGAACTCAATTATAAAGTACCCACAGCAGCAAAACTTGTTAACAAACTTTAAAAAGCAACAAATAAATTTATTCAATGGAACAATATTGAAGTTTCATGATTCTCGTTTAAATTATTATTATTTTTTGTTTAAATTTCCCAATTTTGATAGTTAGAAGGCACTTTTGTTGTTTCGCTATGAAGATAAAGTAATCAAAAAGTAAAATATTTGAAAGAATTTCAACATGAGTAACATTTTTGGCTACGGAATTATTACAAAATATATTTTTAAAAACTTTAAAGCAAATATACTTAAAATTCACAGTACCTATATTATTTAGAGCACTTGTCCTTTTCGTATTATAAATTATGAAATGTACGAGTACATGCAAACGAGAAAATCTACAGAAAGAAAACCTAAAACATACAAATTGGATGCTACTCACAAAAAAATCTCAATTTTAGTTGTGCTCTTCTTGGTACTCGAGATTCCCTCCTATTTACTTTTTCCAGGAAAATTTTGCTTTTATAACAAGCGTAGTTTGAGATTATTTTCCGTGGATTTCGGACGCGATAACCTTCACCAACAAACCTGGGTCAGCGGTAAAAGCTATGCCTCTCTCATGAAATATGCACAGACAATTTCAATGTTTCATTATAAATTCCGTTTCGTACAAAAATTTGTTTTGTATTTTTGCATAATGCTACAGGTCCCCCGAGATACTGTACCGTTACAAAATTAATGACCAACCGAAATAGTAAATTAAAAGGGCCGTAATTGTTATTTTGAAATGCATGAGTAAGGTCAACACGAGATTGTTTGTGTGGAAGACCTTTTTTAATCAACATGACTATTAAATAAACAAAAACAATTTCCGGGGTCGTTTTTTACCCAAACTCTGGCTTAATATAAAAGTAATCATACGCATGGTCTTTAAAATATTTGTCTATGTACGAAAACTATGGCGCTATAAATTTTATTAATTTACTCCTTTTACTATGGGAAACAGGATTTTAAATAAATTCTTTTAAAACCATTATTTCTAGTGCCAAAATATAATTATTTAGGTAAGAACATTAAACCATTATAAAAAGGTTTTTTCTGACTCTGACCTTTTTAGAAATACTTGACGACACTTTTACAGCTCATATTCCTTAACACACAATAACATCCCGTCGCCTACGCGTGCACTTTACTAAATATACCAAAACACACGGGGGACAAAAAATAAAACCGTACTCGGCTTTTGTAACAAATTAGCTCATACAGAAACGACTACTCACCACGCGAAGTGGGAACAGAAGTTCCTCCACTTTTTGTTACATGTTAATATCAAATTATTAGAAGTAAGAAAATTATAAACGACGTATCATAATTGGAGTGACTGACGCGACACGTGCATTAAGGTATTCGGAAATATCAAAAATTTGTACATAATTAAACCAGCGTGGGACGTCAAGGTGGACCGACGACATCATAAAGGCAGCAGGGAAGCGCTGGACGTAGGCCGCTACCAATCGATCAACATGGAAAGCATTGGGGGAGGCCAATATTCAGCAGTGGACGTCCTATGGCTAAAATGATGATGATGATTAAACCAGGCATGTCATGTTTCATAGGAGCCAAATATTATTTAAAAATTTTAGTATTTATTGAAGTTTGTCATTGATTGAATTTCAATTTTGATCCATGATTTAATCATTATTTTAAACCTGTACATCTCCATATTTGTGCCTTTTTATAATACGTGCAGAAACACTAGTGTTTTGTCTTAGTAAAACTTAATGTCAACTAACAAAATATAAAATTCCTTTCAAACTACCCCTTCTCATCCTTAATTCACTGTGTGCCCGCGCTCATCACGCTCCCCTTTTTCGCGTTACGTGAAAAGTGACGATGACGTAATCTCGCATTCATCTCTCGTCATATTAGAAGGGGGCTAATGCGGCGGTACAAAGTGGAACGCATCCGTCTACGTCAGCGTGCACTGGGGCCAAGACGTTTGTGTTTGGTTTTTATGAGGAAACCTGAGTTTTAGGGTAATTTTGTAAACATTTTTAGTAAATGTTGCTGACTTTGAGAACTTTTTGGAGTTTTAAGTAACTGACGTATTTTTCGTAAGCTTGAAGCTATCTACACTCAACATCAAATAAACCGCACCTTCCGCGACGCGAACTTTAAAGATTTTCTTCTGACACAATCATGGTACCCCAACAATGTAGGTGTTATTTGAAAGCCCAATATATCCTTAAAGAAAAACATTTAATTTCTTAATAAATGATTAACATATACCATTAATGTGACTTGAAAAAAGACCTCACTTTGGGTTCTCTCTGGGATCAATTAGACCAAATTTTATGGTTATAAAACCAAATAATGATCACACGTGTCCTCTTTAACAGATAGATAGCGATTAATCCCAACTTAACAGTTTTAAAGCCATAAAAGTTGGCTCAAGCGTAACTACCTATTTTTTGAAGAAGTGACTCTGGATCCTTCTAAAGACACATTTTTGGGATAAAAATCTTTCCTTTAATGAAATGAAGTTTAGAACTAGGCTTTTAAATGGTGCCAATATTGGTGGGAAGTGGGGATGCACACGTTTAAAAGTGCTTGTCGCGGGAGGTGCGATTTATTTGATGTCGAGTGTATCTACCTGCATATTAAAATTAGTTTTATTACTACTAGAGGCCGCTCGCGTGTTCGTACGCGTAGATCCCGTTTTACCCCCTTAGGGGTTGAATTTTGCAAAATCCTGTCTTAGTGAGCACCTATGTTCTAAAAGAAACCCCCATGCAAAATTGGAGACTCGTAGCACTTGTAGTTTCTGAGATTTCGTGATGAGTGAGTCGGTCAATCAGTGATCTTTTGCTTTTATAAATATAGATATGAACATGAACCCACCACACACAAAATTAAATGTAGTTGTTAAAACACAACCAATAAAATTCTTAGGCCCAGTTTTTTGATTCATAGTTAAAATAACTAATTGTTAAATTTTGCTACTAATGGTTAAATATTAACAAAATGTAAACCAATAGTTAAAAAATGTACTAAAAGTCAAGCTAACCGTTGTTCGAAAAAATTTTTTTTCTGATATTTAACCACTTGTCATATGACATCTGTCAAATTTAGCTATTGGTTATTTTAACTACGAATCAAAAAACTGGGCCTTATTCAGTTAAAGCAAATCAAAGTATATTTGCATCACTGTGAACCTGCCGCGAGTAAGTGAGTAGAGCAAGACTTGAACAAAATTAATTAATTTCGCAAATCTACTCAAAGCAAATTGCTTTTTGATCGATTAATTGTTCGACAGAAACGACTTAAATTGAATCGATAGTACGAAATCTACATCGTTCAATCAAAGGTACTTTAAACGGTATGAAATATTTATCATCTCATCTAAAAAGGGTCCAAGTGGTTACTAACCAACCGAAGAAGATGGACCAAAGTGAAATATAGATGAACAAAGGTCCGTCCGTCATACTATAGTAGCGTAAATGCAGTGATTTCATTCTGAGTATATTAGTAAGAAATGATACACTATTTTAGATCTCATCTTCAAAGCATTATCCTTTTTTCTTTGGACTCGAGTCTGCGTTTAAAATCTTAATATCACAAGGTCTCAAGATTCAAAAAAATTTTCATGATTCAAGAGGTATTTAATCAGGATCAGCTGTAAGAATCTATTGATGTGTAAGTAAGCATCAGCCATAAATAGTGAGAGTTAAAACATTGAAAGAACTCTGGATTAATAAATTATTTCAGACACTTAGCACTCTTCTAAGATAAGCGTACTTAAGCTACTTAACGGTTTTGGTAGTGGTTTGAAGACCCTACTATATGTTGCTTTATTTTGTGAGTGTAGTCTTAAATTATTCAGCGAACGCAAGGGCGGGACACTTCAAAGGGCAAAAATGGTACCACTTGGTCGAATCGCTTTAAAGCCGGAAATACGTCTGAGGGCAGTGGTGATGTTTGAATTGATGAGCCCCTTCATTAGACGTCTCTTTGTACATAACTATTAATAATCATCATTATTATGGTAGCCGATCTTTATCGTCAATGAGGTCTGTTTGTTACAAGCTTAGCTCGAGATTAAGGTAGTATTTTTTGCTATTATATCGCAGAATAAAAAAGAAATATTCCAAAAAAATATATTTTCACTCTATATTTATCACNCTAATATAGGGTCATTACTTCTTTTGTCTTAAAAAAGATAATCCAGCTGTCAATAAATAGACTAAATATTTAAGTTGCCTCTTTATTTTTCAGTTTGAGCAGACAAGCTGAAAGAGCTCTATTTTGTCTTAAGCCGCCCACATTTTATTCGTGAGTTGTAAGCCTCCCTAATCGCTAGAATGAATTACGATCTTAAGAAGCAATTAAATCTCGAATTGAAGACTATTTAAATTAAAATATCTCAGGACCAAATTCCACACAAACGGCGGCAACTTCAAAAAAGTTAAGTTTTAAACAAGGTTACAATGTGAAATGTTTACTTTTAAAAGAAAAGTATAGTTTAAAAAAGCATTGTGTGTGCGAGTTAACTGCAATAAATAGTGTTTAAAATCAATCTACTATTAAAAACATATTTTCGTACGTCAGTCTCGCTAAAACTGTGTTGTATATTTGTTGTAGTCCAGAGAAAGTTTGGAAGATTATGTAAGAAATCGACAGATGTAGGTACTACAGATACGAAGCTGATCGGGACATTTGGTTTGGAATAAAAAAATCCTTTTCTTTTTACCCCGGAAAATTACCTACCCACAAGCTTCACACTTATCATAATGTATCATCAATATATTCATGTGTGGAATTAAATAAATTAATAACATGAAAAAAAAAATTTTTTTTCAACAAAATGTTGCACAAGGTTGGGTCTCCTTCGCGTCACGTAGACTAAATATTGTGCATTATGTTAGCAGTTTGCTTCTCAGTATATTCGAGCAGGTATATGACAGACGTCTTTCTCATGACACCCCTTTGCCTGTGACTCTACACTTAAGTGAATCCGATTCGTCAAAGAGACGCCTTTTAGGGGACTCCTTGGGACGGTGTGTTCCTAGAAAAGAAGTCTTTGACAGAGGTATAGTGAAATTTAACCGTTATAAGAGAGAAGTACCTATTTTAAATGGTATTACTCGTAGAATTGTGATCCACGTAAAAATTTTGTACACATTTCGATGTTGTTCAGAAAAAAAAATCAGTTACTCAATTTTTTGCTCCAAAAAATATGCCCTGTAATAAGTAATTATTCTGATTTACGAGCCACTGAAAAAATAAATATTCGCATTTCGTTATTTAAGTATCTATTTCACTGTGTAGATTTCAAACTTGGCTAACGAGGCATACACAAATATTTGACGCAAATATCAGTCCGAATTCAAAGGATTTACCTGTCTTTAATTTAAAATGTTTACGGCTGAAGACAAACACGTTCCATTTAATTATTACAATTCAAAGCATTTGCAAGTCCAATTGTAAAGTTCAGTTTTAAACTAACTAGTATTAGCATAGTATAAACTTTTTACTAACCAAATACAGTATAGAATTTAGAACATTTCTATTATTTCAGGTTTGTGATGTGATATTTCATTTTCTGCTAATTGATGAAAGAATTGAAAGAAAAAAAGCTAATCTTTAGCCATTCTTGGATAGTAAATTCTCAAACACCTCTTTATTCCCATCTACAGCTGATGAATGGGAATAAATTAGGTAAGTTAGATAACTAACTGACACTAACTGCGGGCACTTTACCTTTTTATTAGACCTCTACATTTAAAATCAGAAATTTCTCTTACTCCTCGATTAGCTTAAAACAGATTTATTTTATTTATTTTTATTTTTTGTTATGTCATGATATTTGAAATGTCGCCCTAAAATATTTCAGATGAAGCTTTCAGCTCAGTAAAGGTTTTAGAGTAATCCTACGTTTGAAGTCTTCAAAATCCCACCTATACCCAGGTGGTATGAAATAATAAGTCGAGGGGATTGTCATCAACAGGCATAACTATTGAAATATAGACATTGTGGAGTCCATTCACGATTTTTATTCAACAAATTGAAGTTGATTAATCCGCCGAAGCTCCCGCTACGTGATCAGACCACTGAAACCGGATTAATATTAGGATCAACTCTTTTCTGAGTTACTTGTTCAATGATACTAAATAACTAGTTGGGAAATTTTCTCAGAATACAACAGAGCGTTAGGTTTTTAAATTGTTTTGAGTACCTAGTACCTTCATTACTAACTTCTCCGGGGTTTATAAACATTCTTGGTGAGTTTGACAATATTTTAATAAAGTCTCATGATTCTGATTCTGATTCTGATCTACATGATTATATTCTTATCTAAAATAATTATAAGTAATTTAGAGAAAGAGAGTGAATAAGAGACGGAGAGCTGATTTTGTAAGTAACAAAAATTCGTTCACTATTTTAAAGTTTCATAATACAGGGCTAGAAATAAATCTGTAAGCGAACGATAGTCTACACACAAAGTAAACCTTACTGCAATTTTGTTTACATTCTATGTAATCTAAGACAATGTAAGTAGCATTTGTGTCCTGATTGTTTTCATCAAGATGTTTGGTTATGTTGAGCAAATTCACTTGTGTTCTCCATTTAGATACTCCCACTAGATCAAAACTATTCACGTAATACACCATGATGAGTTTCGTTTCACCCGACTGCCCACGGAACCCTAAAATGCTACACGTTACGAGCAAACCTCTCAAATTGCGAGCCAATTACCCGCAGCTTGTTATTGTTGAAAAATGATCGACACATACATCCCCAAGCATAGTTTTTGTAATATAAATCGCGTACATGCTCTCTCCATATCTCTTTTGCAAATTTATTCGCGCCGTCTCAATTTGGCCGGTTTCAAATGAGCGCTGTCGGTGGAAATAGTTTTTTTTTGCTAAGTGTGAGTTACGAGTGCGTTTGTCGGAGGTAACAGGGAGGAGGTTGATAGCTATTTTTGTATGATAATAATTTGTACCTGTCATGCTCACTTCGTTGTTGATGTTTCTTGCAAAATAAAAACAATTGAAAGTGTATCGTAACTCGAATTCTTACTTCTTTGGCTGAGTTGCATCACCTTAACCTTAACCGTACCGTACCTATAACTCTAACGTGTGTTTTTATGTGGAGTTTAACTTTCCTCTTCAATCAATGTTTAATGATAACAATTACACTTTATTTTATAATATTTACTTATTTATCTACTTCATACAACCTATTTAAAGCTACTAACGCCATTTTCTTTGTACTTTCTATAAAAGCTTCACTATTTATTCTGATTTAAAAATACTGCACTATTTACACGTCCTTTCAAGCTTTCATTTTATTCAATTCAATTCCATTCACAGACTTTGTCTTATCTAGACCTCGAATTGAGATTCCAAACTCGTCCACGACTAGCACAGAATCGAATAGTTTCAAGGTCGGTGCATCTATTACGGTCATATTACATCATACGAAAAATGAGTAGGGCCATTTCTAACGAACTTCATTCGATTTAGATCGTTTCATCCACGAAGACGCACCTCAACATCTTTCCGCTAATGTGTGAGTGTTATCTGTACACACTAAATTATCCATGAGTGCATACGCACACTACAATAATGAAGCTCGGATTGTTTGGATCAAACTCCCCGCACTCCGCGCTTTCCTCGACCAAAATTTTGTGAAGCGCGTCTTAGTGGGTAAAACGATCTATAAGTAAACAAAAGTAGGAATCGGAGCCTATGGGAAATAAAAATCACGGTACAAGTCAATAAGATGCAGAATACGGTAACAAAAATATTGATATTGCTGTAGTGAAGAGAATATTGCTGATTATAACACAGAACAATCTTTCAAACATCATGAACAGTCTGAAATATTGCAACACCGACGAAAATCATGAAATAAAAATTAAATTAGATAGTAAATTGAGATAGAATAAGAAACTTTAACAACCTATCTGGTTTATAAAATGTAGTTACATTAGAGCTTAGAGCCACTTTTAAACAAAAATTCCTTTTGGAATTTCTTTTGAATGGAATGCAATAACGACAAGCTGGACTTATTTATTAAAAGCCTGAGGCTCTGAATAAAATATTTGAGATAGAAAAACTATCCAAATTATTACAGACTGAAGAAGAAAATAACAAAGCAAGTCAATAGATGTATTTTCGAACATTGTAGCTGTATCATAAATATAAGACGCAGTTAAGACTCCATTAGCTATTAAAAAAATCAATCAAACCAAAATTTTTAGTAAATGAGATTGGTTTTCCAGACGTATCTCAAAATGTTTCATCTTTAAATGATAATGTTTTTGTTAAACTAATCTTACTTAAGAAAATCTGATATATTCTAGTTAAATCTTATTCTAGAGTAGGAATTAGAATTTTACTTTTCGCACAAATCTGTACAAGGCCTTCTGCACGTCCCTACTTTACGGTCATATGCTATTTCGTATTCCCTCTCTCTGCCCTCTCCTAAGCTTTTGTCTTGTGCATTCCAGATGAGTCCCTCACCCCCGCGACCCAGGCCCCGCCCCGATCCTCAGGTACCAATTTGATTCCTACTTCATCTAGCGCCTCGCATTTGGCTACAAGCGTGCTACAAGGCACTCCCATTTGTCTCCGCCGCAAGTTGCAGACGATTTTTTTTTCATCAACTCGACCCACAAGCTTATGGCTCTATTGGCACGAGTTTTAGAAAATATATTTTGAAAATTTGAAAGTTAATTAACTAGCATGGAATTTAGCTAATAAAACAACTAGAGTGTTGAAGTGTATAAAAAAATGTAAAGTCCGTTGTCGTTTCTGATCAAGATAGAAGTAGTACAGTTGGACGAGTTGCAGAATGAATTATTTATTATTTTACTCGTTCCAAATGGGTCAAGGCTTTTAAGACGAGTTAGAGACCCAATCTGTAAACTAAAAGTATTTGAGCAGTTTTTCAGAAAATATGTGTTAAAAATTCGTTCACCATTTTGTGACCGCATCTCTAACGGCGCCTTGTGGCATCTTGCATGGTAACGCTTATGACGTCATCTTTCATTTAGTGTCGTTTGAAATGTAGTGACATCATAATTTTATAGCATGAGGCTTACATGCCTATATTTGTTGTTTGTGTCATCTCTGTCCCAAAAATAAGGGTTCATTCACATGCGCCTCGCGACACGTAACATCAATGTGAAACATTTACAAAGTTTCTTTGTTCTGTCTTGAACGTCTTATTATCGTGATAGGCAGTATGAAAGTATAGGCAAATGTGAATGACCCCATTTATATTTAGTTTGATATGGAGCAATAGAAAGAAACCCACTTGAAAAATATGAAATACTTTATGTAATACTACGAAATTCATGAGACTCGTCAAGAAAATTGTCATCTAAAATCTTCCAAGTTTCAAAATCTAAAACAAAGAACGGATGTCCACCGGATTAGAATGCTTTATTCAAACGTGTCACATTTTCAAATTGCATTCTAGGTGTGCGGTGTTGTGATACGGATCCGATTCGTTTGCGTTAAGGTTCGTTTTCGTTTGTTGCAGCGGCGGCGGCGACGATCTGGGGCTCGCCAGAAGTGTTCGTGAAGAAAGGGAGCACTATATCGTTGACGTGCACGGTGAATGTGCATTCTTCGCCGCCCTCCAGCGCATCTGTGTTATGGTAAACAGTTTTTCTGGATTTGAATTGAGAACGTGTGTTTGCTGCTGGAATGAGGATTTGGAGAGATGCGCTTTTCGCACTCCACTTTTTAATGCAGTTCCATTTTGAATTTATGACATTCACTTGTTTTTCAGTCAATTGTTTCTCATTGCTGAGCAAAGATTAAAGAATCTCTCTGTAATTTCTCTCTATTTTCCCCCCTATTACCGTGTCTTGATCCCCATCTTTACGGGTCACTTGGTTTGTAATCGATTACCAATTAATGGATCGTTCCACTAACGCCGAATTAAATAGAGCTGAAACAATAGTTGGCCTGATTTACTATCCTGAATTATCCAATTACGTCACATAATCTAGTCGTTAAGCTTCTTTATTTTCTAACTGTCACGTTATGTTGACGATAACAATGTACTAAATCCAAGTACAATCCCTCCATTTGAACAAACCGTTCTGGATGCTTTTCTCATTATTTGTCTTGTTTTATCGCCACTTTGTTTCAGAAAACAATTTGATCTTGACTATTACTTTATGCTAACGATTGGTATAGAATTCCATTACATGCCCGAACTAGATAATATAAAATCACAATAAATCAAAAGTATTTTATGAAAGTCCATTCGAGTAGAATATTACCACAAATTGCTCGGCGGTGCTGAATACAAATGAAGTCAGGCATTTTTCTTTGTACAATAAACAAATAAATAAGAACCTGAATAACTCGGTTTCAAAGTAAATAGCCTCTACTGGAGAAGAAAGATTGCCTCCATCCGCCGCTCTTATCTAATTAGAAACAAAGACACGTACGGCGTGTGCTAAAACTAATACCAGACAGAAGTTTCTATATTTCTATAAACTTATAACAATGTACGAGTTACAAAAATATTCACTGTGAACGTGAGAAGTTTTTGAGGTTTTGAAATACAGGCAAATCTTATTAAAAACTGCAGTCCATTCATAAGCTTCTAGGAATTTAAGATTTATTTTTGTAAACCTTGTCGGGTAAAGAACTAAATAGTTATGCCCATTATTTAGGGCATATATTTTTTCCTCTTACGAATAGGTAGGTATAATCATTATTTTGTTGACAACAACATGTCATAAATGAACTTTAGGGCCCTCGCCCACGGCGACTTTTTGTAGCAATGCAGTCGCATTGTTAGGAACGCGTTGGCATCACTTCTGTAGTGCGTTGAAAATGCGACTAACTCGCGTTAGTAGCGATGCTGTCGCCGTGGGCGAAGACCCTTAAAAATCCCAAATCTATTTATACACGTCACAAGAAAATGCAATCATACTTCTTACATAGTCTAGCGTAATAACGTGAGATCTTTCCGCAGGTACCACGGAAACTCAGTAGTGGACTTCGACTCTCCCAGAGGGGGGATCAGCCTGGAGACGGAGAAGACGGAAGGTGGAACCACCAGCAAGCTGCTGGTCACCAAGGCCGCTTTCACGGACTCTGGAAACTACACTTGCGTGCCGAATAACGCGCACCCGGCCTCCGTGTCCGTGCACGTGCTCAATGGTAAGTTGATTTATTCCTACTAGCTGACCCGGCGAACTTTGTTCCGCCTTAATGGCAATAAATAAGCAGACTTTTTTTTATTTCGAACGGGATAAAAAGTATCCTATGTCCTTCTCCTGGCTCTAAACTACCTCCCTGACAATTTTCAGCTAACTTGGTTCAGCCGTTCTTGAGTTATAAGTGTTGTAACTAACACGACTTTCTTTTATATATATAGATATTAGCCTGGAGATGGAGACAAAATGGGAATATTCCCACCTCAGGTTCCCACCGCTGAAACTCCTCTGTAGGATCCTGATCTATCCTAGGATCTTAAACTTGACCGCCAATAAAATCTCAACCAGTGAAGGGGGAAAGTGAAACTGCCATTGGACCCGCAACGAAATTAATCCGAAGAACGTAGCAGGAGTTCGAAGTTATTACGCGCACCCGGCCTCTATGATTTTGTGTAGGTAAAATATTTTTTCCGTTTCGTCTCTGAATGATGGATCATGCATTAAAATTAATTTATAATGTATTTTTGTTACATCTCCTCAGTATTGGGTTTTTTAATCCTACCTATCAGTTTGTGATCTAATATTTTATTTTAACAAGATGACAGAGGGCGGAGAATTCAGTTTGTTTTGAAATAGAGTATCTTATCGAGGATAGTAGATAATTAAAAAATAACACAAAAGCTAATGTGCCGCTTTAAAGTAACTAATTAGTATTTCAATGGAATTGCCTCCAGACAATTCAAAGTAAAATAAACACCAATTATCTGCTCCGCCAATTGAAGACTTATATTTCAATCGTGAATGCTGAACAATATCAAATTTCACAAATATGTCTCCTCCATCGGAAACCATTAACGAGCGTAATCCCCAAAGACACTTGTCCTAGCCTTTAAAATCGTTTGAAGTCGAAACTTCGGATCGATTAGCGCTAACTCGAACGTTGACTAAAAGTTAGCGAGTCTAATCTACCGGACCGCGCTAGTTCGGGTTCGTTAGCTACATTATCTGGAGCCGATGTCAGTTCTGAGTTATCACTATTCCGAACTTCAATTAGAGCTCGGAGGTTTTCCGCTTGTTTATTGGGTGACATGTGCGCTAATTACCAGAAAAACTAGAACATACTAACGTGTTCACAGGATTTCTGGAGACGTGACTTTCAAAGCGATCTCGATTCCTTGCGCGAAAGTGTGAATATGAAAATTAAATACCTCTTGGAGGAATGAGCTTATTCCAAAATTATTATCAATGTAATATGACAATACTAAATTCATGGCACGAGATCGGAAAAGTTGTTCTGAGCAAGGATTAAAAGATTATCGCACTTAGGCCCAGTTTTTTGATTCTTAGTTAAAATAACTAATTGTTAAATTTTGCTACTAATGGTTAAATATTAACAAAATGTTAACTAATAGTTAAAAAATGTACTAAAAGTCAAGCTAACCATTGTTCGAAAAACATTTTTTTCTGATATTTAACCACTTGTCATTTGACATCTGTCAAATTTGACCATTGGTTATTTTAACTACGAATCAAAAAACCGGGCCTTAAAGTTGTTAGAAAGTTTGAAAAGATCCTTCACTTCTGGTCAAAATTTTAAAGCGTACCTAGGTTAAAAAATCATGAGTGGCATCATTTAGGCCTCTTACCGTAAATACGAGTTTCAAAGAAATAAAGATTGTATGTATAACGATCGGTCGGATAAATAGAAGCTCGCTACTCTTAATGCGTGTCCTAAAATAAGATCACAATGGACTACCACTAAGCTCTCTTAATCTAGTCTTAAGGGCCTTGCCACATTGGCGGAGACGCCGCGGCTGCGCGGCGAGAAATCTAGACGAAAACGTTGCGCATTCGCGACGTGTTCGCTGCGTCTTCCGCTCCGCTTTGAAACCGCTTGCAATTCGCCAGTGTGGTAAGTGTTTAGGGAGCAGGTAAAGTCTGCGGGCACAAGTACCTAACACAAACAGCACAAGTTCTAAACCAATTTAAATTATGTTTTAAAATCAATAATTTTAATCTTCTATAATATAAAAATGAATCGCAAAATGTGTTGGTAAGCGCATAACTCAACAACGCCTGGACCAATTTTACCAATTCTTTTTTTTTAATGTTTGTTGAAGTCCAAGGATGGTTTTTACAGCGAGAAAAGTTTGAACAATTTCCGGGTAAACCCTAAAAAACTCGAAACTTCACCCCTAAGGGTAAAACGGGGTCCACGCGTACGAAGTCGCGGGCGGCCACTAGTATGTTATAANAATTACCAGAAAAACTAGAACATACTAAACGTGTTCACAGGATTTCTGGGGATGTGATGTTCAAAGCGATTTCCATTCTTTGCGCGAGTATGAATATGAAAATTTAATACCTTTTGGAGGAATGATCTTATTCCAAATTAGCTTTGTAATATGACAATACTAATTTTATGGCACAAGATCGGAAAAGTTGTGCTGAGCAAGGATTAAAAGATTATCGCTCTTAAAGTTGTTAGAAAATTTGACAAGATCCTTCGCTTCTAGTCAACATTTTAAAGCGTAGGTTAAATCATGAGTTTATACATGTTTCAAAGAAATAAAGATTGTATAGCGATCGGTAGGATAAAATGGAAGCTCGCTACTCTTAAGGCGTGTCCTAAAATAAGATCACAATGGACTACCACTAAGCTCTCTTAATCTAGCCTTAAGAGCCTTGCCACACTGGCGGAGACACCGCGGCTGCGCGGCGAAATCTAGGCGAGAACGTTGCGCATTCGCGACGTATTCGCTGCGTCGCCGCTCCACTTTGAAACCGCTTGCAATCCGCCAGTGTCGCAAGGCTGTAAATGTTTAGGGAGCAGGTAAGGTGTGCAGGCACGAGTGCCTAAGGCAGGATACTCACCTGCCATGTAGCACGTAACGTAGCATAAATAACGTAACCAACCTTCAAGTGAGTACGGCTTGTCCACGGTCATCGCGTATCTGGCTGCGAGCTCACTGCGAGCCACCTTTGTACGCCCGTCGGCGGGTCGCTGCGATCTCCCTGCGAACCACGCGCGAGCAGCGAGCAGCGGGCTCGTGCCTATCTACTCACTTGATAGAGTATCTGATACATTACATACTACACAGCTAGATGTAACCTGCTTTACATACAAACAGCACAAGTTTTTTTTTGCTCAGTTGGTCATTCTTCCCCAGGCGAGCACCCGGCGGCCATGCAGACGAGCAACCGAGCGTCCTCCTACCTCACGTCCCAGCTGAGCTGCGCCGCCGTGACGTACCTACTCTCCTCGATGGCTTGCAGATGATCGCCCTGACCGGCCCGGGGACCGTAGGCTAAGGGTATGGGATTGGCTTGAATTCTGATCATATTTTGTTGTTTACCCCTTTATTAGTGAAATAGGGTGCTGTCAAATTAGAGGCATGAAGAAGCGCTGCAATGAGGGCTATCGTTTTTATACTTAACAGTTAGCACCCCTGGCGATTGACAGGACCTTACTCTACAGTGGCGCCATCTTGATGAGTGCAAATGCGATAGTCCTCCTACCACTTTAGCGCTCACCAGTTGATGCCACTGTTTTCGCTACTAGCAAGTGACAGGACCTTACTCTACAGTGGCGCTAACTGGTGAGCGCTAAAACGATAGCCCTCATTGAGACACTATGGCGCCGTTACCGCACCACTACCAGTCTTTATACATAATTATTATAGATCTTTACATCCACGAAGATGCGCCCTACCAATTTTTGGTCGAGGGAAACGCGGGGTGGGGGAGTTTGATCCGAGCAATCCGAGCGTCATTATTGTAGTGTGCGTGTGCACTCATGAATAATTTAGCGTGTACCGATAACACTCAAACATTAGCGGTAGAATGGTGGGGCGCGTCTTCGTGGATGAAACGATCTATATCTAGACGCACAGATGTCACATGCCACTGATTTGAAAACGCACTATGGCTCCAATGTATGATTCTTGAAACTCAATCCTAGTTCTTGATAGGTTGAAATTGTGTTTAATACCAATCACAGGACATAATCTTAAAGTGAACGCTTGAGTTTAAATCAAATTTTGAGCGTGGTATCGTAATACGAGCCGCCGTCTTAGCCTAGCCGCAGGCTATAGACTTTCTGTCGGCCGATTGTTGAGCCGGGCAATCAGTAAGGACATTGTGTGAAATTACGCACATCTCGAGTACACCAATTAGCTATCGGCCGATTCTTCATACAAATTAGAATCGGTCCCAGTTTTAATTAAACACAGTTTTGTCTCTTTTCATTCACATCGAAATCAACAATTGACTGAAGGAGACAAAGCTTTATTTCACAAATAAAATATAGAGCAGCAAAAGCTAAAGCAGCTTTGATAAAGCAAAGAGTTTATTTTTTATTTTATGACTGCAAAAACCTGGGCTGCCTTTTAGTTTCTGAATTGAAACAACTGAAAGCATATCTGGTCCGAAATACATTTGTAGAAATCAGAAACGTTTTAGGGAAGTTTAAAGAATTTTGCTCTTTCGTCAAAGTTTTAAAAAATTAAATGAGTGCATGTTTTTTTTTAATTTAACCTTATGAACGGCCAATGTGGTTTTAAATAACAAAAGTATGTAACAGGTTGTGATGTTTACAATTTGAAAAACTATTGAAAAATTTAAAATTTACTTTTTTATAACTAAATGAATTTGACGCCGGTCCCAGTCTCCGTAATTAGTCTAGATTTAAACTAAATTTAAAATTGGTTAGGGGTTGGTATGCAAAGTAAGAAATCGGCAAAGTGTGATCGACGAAGCGATAATTGTAATTTAACACTAATTGTCTCTAATACTATGTTTATTACGTTTGTCTTTTAGAAATTGTAAAGATTACGAATTAAAATTGTCACATTAATTTATTAACTTTGGAATGATAATATAAATCACCAAAATTAAACAATTTGGAGTTTACTGGATGTTTTTAAACTACCTCTTAACGATCCGGATTATAATTATCTAAAAAGGTTGTTAAAAATTACTTTTATTGTAAGTACTTATTTACAGTTGCAGTCTTAAATTAACAGTTCGTCAAAACACCTGATACAAATAAAACTGAAAAAAAAAGCTATGTTCATTATTAATGGGGATGTTGCCTGGGTCAAAAAGCAAGAGTTTTAATTAGTCCGTCAGTTAACTTATCAAAAAATACTCTACACGTATTTTTCACTTTTTCAAACTAATGAAAATTTAAAGGATAAAGCGCGCCAAAGTTCATAAATAATAATAAATAATAAATAAATCTTTGGACAATTTCACACAGCGCCAGCTAGCCCCAAAGTAAGCAACTTAATGCTTGTGTTATGGGTGCTAGCTTAACGGATATACTACTTATATACTTTTTTTTTAAATATATAAATATTATACATAGTCACACCCAGACCCGTTACAGAAATTAAAATTCATCATTTCAATTTCTGCCCGGCCGGGAATCGAACCCGGGACCTCTCGGCATAGTGGTCCGTTCTGAACCACTACACCAAACGGCCGACAAGTTCATAAGAAGAGGCCCGTGACGTCAACGCTTGCTTAAAAATGCCGCACGTCGTGACGTCGTGCGCAACTTCAACGCACCATAACTATGTAATTTTTTGTTAGATTGACAAATAAAAATATATGTGTCCAATATTTTTTGATATTAAACATTACGGACTAAAAAAAATTTTTTAGGCAACTAGCCTATTGTGGCTTACCTACGATATTTTACAGGTCAAAAGGCGCAAGGTTAGTAGATACCTACTTACAAAATATATTTATTACAGATCTGTCAGTTTAAATTTATTCTGAGTCCTTTACATTTATTTTGGCTGTAATTTAGAATTTAATGATTTTATATATTAACGATTGCTCATTCCTTTCATTGTGATATTTAGTTAATTAAAACCCAATTGTTTCAAAGGAAAACAACATTGTTAGCAAATGTTCCCGCAAGTAGGTGTAAAGTAACATAATTTTGTACATAACTACAATTATACGTAATTGTAGGATAAATGTTTATATCAAAAGCATGTAAATATTTCCAATTGTTGTACATAAAAACGAGTTCGTGTATAAGTTAATCTAGTAGATAACCATTCGAGTGGTGAAAAATTGTTTTTTTTTGTTCTTAGAACAAGGTTTTGAAGCGGAGTCCGTATTCTTTCCTTGACTGTGTAAAAAGACATTATAACATTCCATTTTAGTTGTGATAGATTTACTAAAATATACATAACATTTNCATATTTTAGTTAGACAAAGACTGCATAAGCCACCATTGAAACGCTTTTAAATTATAAGACAAGCTCGTGGTTCGCGAAATAATTAAGTTGGAATAATATCCGTTGAAAGTAAGCAGTAGTGCACACAAGCGCAAAGCAGTTTCCACAAAGATAAACTCGGCGGCCGACAGGCGTAGCCGCGGGAACTTTCGCCGCAGCCTAATGCGCGCTCCACATGTTTGCGTTGCAGTGTCAAATAAGTTCGCGCAGGTAAAACTTCGAAGAACAAGTTAGCTCGTGCGCACTCCGCTTAACTTACACAACTACAATACGGGAACGAGTACGGACTCCTAATTGCTAGTTAATAATGACAAATAAATGAAATAATAAAAATCTATTGACTGTTTTTCGTCTGTTGTTAACAGAATCGCGTCGCAATTATTAGAGTTTAATTTCATTGTTACTACAGTTTGCGGTTACTCATTTTATAGGTGTTTGGTCAACTATTTATCTACCTACTTTGAATTTGCAACGGACAGATTTCCAGAAGATTTTTGTAATTAGGAGTGTCAGTAACAAATAAATTTAATTGGAAAGCACATAAGTACCTACTCCCTAGTGCTATACTTACTTCTGAGACTAAAAATATCTTACCTACTCCATTGTAACAACTGCGATTATGAGTTCAAATCCTATTGGAAGCAAATAAATTTTACCAGCTTTTATCCCCACAGTAATTCATATTATGATTAGTAACTGGTAAATGAGATTCTTCTTCTTATCGTATCGACAAAAAACCTATACAGTGTCAGCCCAAAACTCCGCTACAAGAGTGGCGTTGTCAGAATGAGGTTTATTTTTAACGATATTTAGGAAAAGCTTTATGGGCACGTGTAATACAGGTGGTCGTGCCCTGTGAAGGGAAAAACAGAAAAAATAATTTGATTTTTATATCCAATATTATTTTCTAAATCTGATTTGTGAACTAGACACTTCCTGCGGAGACGAGAAAGTCTATTAAAAGCTGTCTATACCGTATGTCAAGGTAAACGAAATATTAATAAAGCGGAATTAAGGCTGATTGTTGACATAAGTTCATTAGTTTGATTCCTTAAAAATGACTATACCAAAGTTTTAAACTTTCATGGTCACTATCATAATTATTATTACTGACGGGATTGCTACCATGTACCTTAATTTTGAGTTTCCGATATTTCGGCACTGTTGCAAGCGCCGGAAATATCGGAAACTCAAAATTAAGGTACATGGTAGCAATCCCGTCAGTAACAATGATGACTATTCCAAAGATTATGATTATATCAAAGATATTTAGTCCTACCCACCTTATCTTCAGATGATTATTTGAATCTCAATACTGAGTGTCTTTTCATCTTTAATTTAATTTCTTGGCGACCTATTTTCAAATCTTCAGCTACTTAAACTGAGTTGCGACTTACACCACAAAACACAAAACGCTCGCAACAAAGTACTCGTTAAGTCCTGGAGTGAAATCCAAAAGACTTGTTCACTTCTTGACCTCTTCTATTGACTTTGAGTTACTTCAGTTTTACCTGGGTCTGGGCAAATAAAGCCGAGATCTAAGTAAAGGCTGAAACTTTGGTTTAGTCTTTGAAGGTAAATAGGGCTCGGGCGGGATTTGGTCACACAGTTTTATTATTGACTGGAATCCTAAAGGGATAATGTGAACCGTTTTATGCTGATCTTTTATTAATAAGAAGTGTAAGATATATTTTTTGGAGTGAATCCTGAATTTATTATTTGACATTGAGTAGGTATTCACTAATGGCCGACCGTTTCAGCAAGTGGACTGTCAGTAACTTGCATTTAATATGACTATGTTGGTAAATATGAGTGACTAAATACAAGTTAAGACACCTATGTTTAACTTGCATATTTTTAATTCTAGAGCACATTTTGATGAATTTTAATTATAATTATCAAAGCCTAATTTAGATTTTAAAATAACGCCACCGTGGGTTAGAGAATTTGATTTTCTAGAGAAGAAATGAGTTAGCAGAACTTGGCTAAGCATTTATAAAATGAGTGAGTGCACCGCTGACTTTACGCCTCCAACTGTTGACTCCATCTCTTGTATACTTGTAAAGTAGAATACTGATATAATAATAGTGTCGTAGCTGATCTATAACTAGCTATGTTTCTTATAATAATGC